GGGTTTCACCATGTTGGCCAGGCTGGTTTGAACGCCTGACCTTAGGTGATCTGCCCGCCTTGGCCTCCCAAAGTGCTGAGATTACAGGCGTGAGCCACTGCGCCCCCCCCATCCTTTTTTTCTGAAAGGAGGATTTCAGAACTAGATTAGAAGTACGTTATTTGAAAATTAATGAGAAATGATGTGAACAAACAAAAACCCGCTGGTTCCCTCGTCTGGGCCACCCACAGTCAGCATTCCTGTGGACTTTCTTCCTGAATTCATGTCACTGCGTCGGTGTTTGTAATTGTCCCAGCCGTTGCACGTGTCATTCTGTGTCCAGTTCTTTCCGCTGGCATTTTAAGTGTTCTCCATATTGTTTAGGAGAGAGACTCTTTCTAAACATTTTAATGATGATAGGGCGGAGCCCTCAGCTGTAGTTGGACAAATAGTTATTTCCAGTTTTGGCCATGCTAACAGTCTGCTTTCTTCATCATTAGGATTAATTCTTTTTTTTTTTTTTTGAGATGGAGTCTCGATCTGTCGCCCAAGCTGGAGTGCAATGGCGTGATCTTGGCTCACTGCAAACTCCGCCTCCCGGGTTCAAACAATTCTCCTGCTTTAGCTTCCTAAATAGATGGGATTACAGATGCCTGCCACCATGCTCAGCTAATTTTACATTTTTAGTAGAGATGGGGTTTCACCATGTTGGCCAGGCTGGTCTCGAACTCCTGACCTTAGGTGATCTGCGCACCTGAGCCTCCCAACGTGCTGGGATTACAGGTGTGAGCCACCATGCCCAGCCTAGAATTAATTCTTTAGAATAGATTCCGTTGGAATTACTTGATGGTCTAAAATATTTTTAAGGCTGTTAGATTGTTATGTTGAAAATTAAAGAAAAACCCAACAAACGCTGATGGTCTGCAGTGTGTTTTGTTCTGCGTAGCTGCTTGGGGTTTGGGGTGAACCTGAACAGATGGGTTTGTCAGGGGCAGCTCCTTGGTCTGGGGCTATGGGTGCGGCCTCCTGTCTGTGCCTACAGGTGGCCCTATGGGGAGGATGGTGGCCTGTGGGCCCTGAGGTGAGGTGCTGGCTATAGGCCTGTGGGGCATTGCTGTGACTGTGGGATGGCCTCTCAGCGTCCCTTCTCCTGATGCCACGTGCTAGCCTGATCGGTGTCTTTAACCCTTCCTGGGAGGTACCCCGGTTGTGTCTGAGGGGGCGGACTGCTCAGACAGGAGCAGGGGCACCCAGCGAGGGTGCGCCATCTGATGGGACAGCTGTGGACTCGGGTTTCAGCCTCCTCCTCCGATTGTGGGTGAACCGAGAGGCAAGCGCTGGGAGCCCTTGCTCACCCTGTGGGAACCGGAAGAGCGGGGCAGGTGGGCTGAAAGTGTACCCACCTCCTGTATGGGTCTGGGGCAGTGAAGCTCAGAGAACACGTTAGTGCCCATCTTGGGCTGTTGGTCACACACAGTGGCTGGGTCCTCCTCCTCCCATGGGGTGCTGTGGCGGGCAGCGGCCCTGCGTCTGTGCCCGTGCCTGAGGACTGGCTGCAGAGAGCCTTGAGGACAGCGGCGTGACTGCAACAGCGTCTTCTTTCTGAGTCTCTGCCAGCTTCTCTCCAAGGCTGGGGCTGTCAGCTCTGCCCGGGGCAGCCAGAAACACGCTGTGTGTGGTCAAAGGGGCTAGAACCTGACCCGTGGGGTAGGCGTGGGTGGTGGGGAGGGGCTGGAAGGCTCACTGCTGGTGGTGGGGACACTTTGTTCCCTGTGGCCTCTGCATCTGAAAATGAGAACGGAGGCCTCTTGTCCTTTGCAAGGCACCAGATGCAGCGGGTACCATGTGTCCCACATGGCACGGTGGGTACCCCCCCCGACTCCACCCAGGGGAGACCATACATGGGTCTGCAGTCACTGAGCGTTCTGTTCCTAGTTCTGGCAGGTGAGGGAGCTGGAGGTGTCGCTGCCATTTCCTTGGTCACTGCTTCCCAGCTGCTGTTCCAGGGAGCCCTCCCGTGAGTGGGGGACAGGACTTGAAGGTTTGGGGAGCCCGTCTTCCGTGCTCAGAGGGACCAGCACACCCTGAGCGCGGAGGCGTCTTCCCGTCACACCTCTTTGCTTGGGGTGGGGATGGGAACTGCTCGTCAGGGTTGATAGAATGATGAGTAAACTGAGGCCAGGGAGGGCAGGACCAGGGCTGGTGAGGTGTGAGGCCCTGAGGTCACCTGAGGGGGAGTGGCCTGCCTGGCAGGGTGGGGAGGCTGGGCCTGGCTGGGGAGCCGCCCTGCCCTTCTTGCCTCCTAGAAGGCCCCACATTCCTGGGAGGTGACTGGGCTGGAGGAGGAGGGGAGGCTGGTTCTCACTGTTCCCCAGCAGTGAGTGCAGCTGGCCAGGGCTCCAGTACCTGCTCCTGCCCGTGGCTGGGCCAGTGGCTCTGCTGGGCTCTGGGCCCGGTCCAGGGCTGAGTAGGGGGCTCCCGAGCATCCTGTTATTGGCATGCTGGGGCAGACAGATGTTTCGTTGGTCCTGTGGTTGGCACAGTGGTCCTGGCTTGTCCCCGGCAGCACCCAAGCCCTTGCCCGCCCAGGCATGCTAACAGCCTGCAGAGTCCATCCCTGGCCCTGAGGTCATGGGGGCGAGGGCTGGCTGTGTGTGGTCAAAGGGGCTGATGCCTCTGCTTCTGCGATTGAGGGTCAGCGGCATGAACCTGGGAAGAGCCTGTGTTCTGTTGTGGGGTGGGCCAGTGGGTGGACAGCCGTTGGGGTAGATGGGGTCTGGGCTTGCATCTGGGCCAGGTGCTCTCTGGCGAGAGGTGTTAATAGCCCATCCCTTACCAGGTGGCTTCGTTACTCACAGGGGTGCTTGGGACAGGCCTTGCTGCCCACTTGCCTCTGCCTCCCAAACCTGCTATTGCTGGGTGGTCCCCCGGCCCCCCATGTTTTGGGTCCCGATCCTGCCTCCCCTCCCTTCCCCCAGCCCTCTTCCCTGAGGGTTTGCCCTGGGCATCCTGGTGGCTGAGCCGACTCCCAGCCTGGTGGGGAGGCAGGACCAGGGGTATGGGATGGCTGGGCGTAGGCACAGGATTTTTTCCAGTTTTCCTGGGTGACTAGAAAGCAGGGTCAGTGTGGTGAGGGTGATGAATTTCACCCTGCAGCCGTGGTCTGCACAGATGGGCCTCGATAGGCCTGAGTTCAGAACCTGGGGACATGTGACCGGGGGAGGAGAGGTCCCTGAGGTGTCTTTTGGGGGCACCCGACTGTCCTGTGGGGAAGGTGGCCGCTCACCTGTGGCACATGCTACGGGTACACTTTGCTTGTGAGGAGCTCCTGGGCAATCAGGCCAGGTGGACTGAAGGATCCCGATGCTGACTCTAGCCCCCAAGTTCAGGAGGCTGTTTCCCCACTGCAGGGGAGGGGGCTCCCCGACCCTGACCCTGGGGTGGGCTGCGGCCTGGCTCTGCTTATGAGAGCTCCATTTGAGCCTGCAGCCTCTTGGAAGCTGAAGGAATTGCTCCAGGGCAGGCTGGCGAGGCCACCCCCTCACCTTTCTATGGGTCCTGAAGGTTCTGACATGGCTGAGAGGCCCCTGGCGAGGGTGGCGGGTGGGCCCTGCAAGGCTGGCCTGTGTGTATTGTGTGTTGGTGTCTGATGCTCCATGGTAGGGCTGGGTATGAGGTGGTGATTTGGCTGCAGGCTGTGCTGTTTCCCCAGGCGGGCGAGGGCAGTCAGGGCTGGGGTCTCACCTGGCTGAAGGGTGGGACTCCTCAGACCAAACCTTCCAGCCCAGCCGTGGGGCCAGTCGGGGTGGTGCACTGGGGCGGAGTCTGCTGGAGGCTGATGTTCCCCTTCCTCTCATGTCCTTCCAGATCCCTCGTCCACCTACATCAGGCAACTGGAGACCAAAGTCAGGCTGCTGGAGGGTGACAAGCTCCTCGCACAGGTAGGCCAGCTGTGGGTGGCGCTGCCCTGAGGACCGTGTCCCAGGCCACCCCTCCAGCTCACCCGGGGCACCGTTCCCCTTGGGACCCATGCTCACTGTCACCTCCTGGAAGGTGGGGTCAGGGACCTATCCCTGGCTCCCATGCCTCTGGGCTGCCCTCCCTCCACCCCTCCAGGCTGACCACCCAGTATGTGAACTCCTCGGGGGCTGCCCGGGGCCTGAGAGGGTGCACAACACCCGGCTGGTGAAGAAATGGGCTGCTTCACTCCTCTGGCAGACAGGCAGATCCAGGCAGGAGATAGGCAGGCTCACACAGAAGCCTCCCCAACCTTTGCCATGCTGGATTCACTGGCTGTTCCTCCCTGGGCTGGGGTCCCCTGCTCCCTCCTGGGCCTGGCCCTGCCCACAGACAGATGAGGCTGCTACCCCTGAGCAGAGTCTAGCAGCAGGGGCACAGCAGGGAGGGGTTGGCTGCAGGGGGAGGTGGTGTTGGGTGAGGGGCTCTGCCTCTTGAGTGTGGCTGGAGCGTGGAGGGGACCTGTGACTGCCGGGACAAGGGCTTGCCCTGCTGCAGGTGGGGCAGGCATGGGGGCTGCTCAGAGGAGGCTGTGGGCAGCCATGCTTGGGTGTTGGGGTCTAGCCGGCTTGGCAACCCCTCAAGCCGCTCAGCTTTCAACCCCTCGGGCCCATCCCTGGCTTCATCCCAGTCCTCCCCTCCCTGCTCTCCCCACTGGGCTGTGGGCGGCCGGGCTGGGATACCCAAAGTGTTTCTCTGGGAACCAACCCCAGGGATGGCTCCGCTGCCTGGCCCCGTTGCTAGGTGACCAAGCCAGGCTTGGTGCTGACTGCCCAGCTCAGGAATTCCACGGCACCTTCTCTGCCCACTGGGCAGCTGCTGGGAGGCTTACGGCCCCAGCAGGGAGCACGGCTCCCACGGAGGTCATCCCCACACCTCATCCCTGCGCGGGCCATGTGGGGTAGGTTCCCAGGGCCTGGCGGGACTCAGGAGACTACACGTCCTCATCCGGCTTCTCCCCAACTCTCCTCCACCCCCACCCCCACCATACATGCTCAGGCGCATAGCCAGGCTCTGAATTGCAAGGCTGGCTTTTGTCATTTCATGCCTTGCTGTCAGGTGCTCTAAGGCGAAGGGCTTTGGCCACAGGCTGTGCTGGCTTCACAGGGCTGGTGGGGGCAGGAGGGTCTGGGGTCTCACCTGCGTGTGGAGCGGGGCTCCCTAGACGTGAACCTTCCATGTGGGCCTGGCGGGGCCGTGGCGGTTACTAAGGAGGGTGTGTGGGGTGGGCTGCAGGAGCGGCAGGCAGAAGTGACACCAGGGGAAGGTCGTGGCTCAGGGACCTTTGCTTTGGAGAGCATCCCACGAAGTGTGTAGGCGAGGGAGTCCTGCCTCCAGGTGCTGGCAGGCGGCCTCTGCTCTGCAGAACGAGGGCCAGGACCATGCTCGGGTGGCCGAAGCTCGGGCCTCCACCATAGCTATGTCTACTTGCCCTGAGCCTACCTGTGCACAGGTGGAGAGCTTCAGCCTTGAGCCCCAGCACGGAGGGGCTGGATCTGCCCAGGACCCCCTCCCTCCCAGGCCTGCTCCGACCTGCTCCCTCGGGGTAGCAGCAGGGCTCTGTTCACATCCTCATCCCTGATCCTGGCCTGCAGGGTACCGACATGAGACCCTGATGGCTGGGGAGCTGCTGGCCCTTGCCTGGACACAGGCTTGCTGGCTGCAGGCGGTTGGACAGGGTTTTAAGGACAGAAATCTGCTTTTGCCTGCTTGTTGCTATATAAAACCATGGTGCGGAACTCAGAGATCGTCCAGTGCAGAGGAGTTCAGGTGTTTCGCTTCTTTAGCAGAAATTTGCTTTCTCCCCAGATGAAGCCCAGTGCGGCCGTGCTGCTGGAGTGGTGGCTGAAGAAGCCTGTGTCTCTGTGTGGTGTGGAGGGAGGGCACTCAGGGCCCATCCCTACCTACTTCCTCAGCATGGTCTCCGCAGCAGGCAGAGGTCTTGCCCCCGGGCTCCCAGCAAGTGGTGTCAGGGCACACCCAGCACCCTGAAAGGGGCAGCCGTGTGCTGCGGGGGGCCTCGGGCCCTGGTGCTGCGTGGTCTTCTACCCCTGTTCCCACGCTGCAGTGGAGGGCCCTGAGCCTCACAACAAAAGCCCCAGGAGCTGGTGGCATCCCCAGAGCCCGTGGCATCAGCAGAACCAGAGGAGCCACGGCCAGGCACGGTGGCTCACATCTGTAATCCCAGCACTTTGTGGGGCTGAGGTGGGCGGATCACTTGAGGTCAGGAGTTTGAGACCAGCCTGGGCCGCACAGTGAAGCCTGTCTCTACTAAAACACAAAAGTTAGCCTGGGATGGTGGCACGTGCCTGTAATCCCAGCTACTTGGGAGGCTGAGGCAGGAGAATCGCTTGAACCCAGGAGGCGGAGTTGCAGCGAGCCGAGATTGTGCCACTGCATTTCAGCCTGGGTG